TCGCCGCTGTCGCTGTTGGAGATTTCGTCGTCGCTGTTGGAGCCGTTGGAGCCCACGTCCGCATCCTCAAACTTTCTCTTGAGCCTGTCCATGGGTGGGGCGGGGGGGTCACCACGGCCCTGGGGGGGCAAAAGGGGCCGTCAGGGCCTTTCGGGTCATTTGGGGGGGGTCACCTCCCCCAGCCCCATTCCTGCCCTTTATTATCTCAATTAATACATTTAATGTTAATGATGTACTTGGATTTGGGGGGAGCAGCTCCCTTCCCATCCAAACCAAACTGAACCAAAATCGAAAGGAAATGGAGGTTTTATAATGAAAAGAGGCTCAAACATGGCCAAACACCACAGGAAACCCCCAAAACCGCTGAAAGCTTCACCCACCCCCCCTGGATGCACCAGGGGTCCCTGTCCATTGGCTCCATTGCAGGGAATCTGCCCGTTTGGGGTTTTCTGGGGGTTTCGGGCACTTTCCCGCACCAAAACGGCGGCTCTCGGCCACGGAAATGCTCGGTTCCGCTTTGGGCGGGAAATTTTGGGAGGGAAACCCCAGATACTGGGCACTGCTCCGCATCCTCCCAAGGATTTGGGGTCACTGCTCCCAGAAAGAGCCCAGGGCAGCCCTGGTCCATGGGATGGAGCGGGAAGGGTCCAGGGATGCTGTGTACCCCAAGGAGTCCCAAAAAGGCATTGCTGAGGCCTTCTTCACCCCAAAAAGGCATCACTGGGCCCTTCTTCGACCCAAAAAGGCCCTTTTATACCCCAAAATGCATTGCTGGGGCCCTTCTTCGCCCCTAAAAGGCATTGCTGAGCTCTTTGCCCCCAAAAAGGCCCTTTTTCACGCCAAAAAGGCATCACTAGGTCCTTCTTTGACCCAGAAAGGCCCCTTTTCACCCCACAAAGTACTGCTGGGGCTCCTCTTCACCCCAAAAAGGAACCCATCCATGTGAGGTGCGATTTCCCAGCCCATTTTGGGCTAAAATATGGGTTTCTGAGGTATTTTTTGCAGGCAAATTGCCCAATCCCGACCGTCGCTGCCCCCCAGATTTCACCCCCTCCAGCACCCCAAGACGGTCCCGATTCCGTGCCCGGGTCCCCATCCACGCTCCATGTCCTTTGTCAGCCTCGTTTGAGGGAGGAGATAATTAACGAGGGAGATCACTAACGAGTCCTGTGTCCTCCACAGCAAATCTGCAACATCTCACCTAAAAATCCTCTTTTTCGGGTGCTTTCGGAGAAGAAAATCAGCGACAGGGATGGAGAGCGGCTGCATCTGGGATGGCTCCCATTAATTGGTGTTAATTAAATGGTGTGAATTAAATAATGCAAATTAGTGTATATTAAATAATAGTGTATATTAAATAGTATTCAATAAATAGTGTAAATTAAACAAATAGTGTAAATTAAATAGTTTAAACCGAATAAATAGTGTAAGTTGAATAGTGTGTATTAAATAAGTAGTGTGAATTAAATAGTGTGAATTAAATAGTTAAATAATAGTTTCAATTGTGTAAATTAAATAGTGTAAGTTATTGTGTAAATTATATGGGGTCAAAACTGCCCCCAAAATAGGGGAAAAGACGCCAAAATTGGGCACCAAATGAAGTTTTTAGCCCATTTCTCCGTGCTAAAGCTCCCCTGCACCCAGTTTAATTCATTAATTAGCTGAAATTACCCAATTTTGGGAATAAATCGGGGTCTGTTAATGAGGAATTAATGCCAGGGTCCATTAATGAGGAATTAATGCTGATAAAAACCTGGTTTGAGGGGTCCCGAGCAGGAAAACCCTGGGCCAGGGATGCTCCAGAGCTCGTTTGGGTCGCATTAATGAGCTTCGTTAACGACCTTCGTTACTGGGATGATCCTGATCCGGATTGGACGCGCTGCTCCTCCATCAGGACGGCAATTCCAGAGCCAGGAGTGGGTTTATTTCCAGATCTTCATTGTAATTAGTCATTAATTAGTCATTACCAGGCGGGTGGGGTGACCCTGTGGATGTGGTGATCCCATGGATTCCGTCGTCGTTCCTGAAAATCCCATGTGGATCCAGGACCGAGTAACTCAGCGTTTCCTCCTCGATCCCAAATTGCGCCCATTTTTTGGGGAAAAATCAGGTGAAATCAGTTTCCCGCCAAAAATAAGGCGCCAAAAGCCAATCCTGACCCAGAATCCTGGGATTTTGAGGTGTCAAACAGGGGGGATGAGGATGGGGGTGAGGATTTGGGATGAGGATGACCCCGCAGCCCAAAATCCCTCCAAGGGGCCACTCCGGCGGCTCAGCTCCATGAGGACGCAATGGGGACCCCCCCTGCACCCCCAGGGGCTTCGGTTCGGGTCCAGCACCGCTTGAGGACGCAGCAGAGCCCCAAACCCACCCCCCAAGGCGGGAAATTCAACCCATGGCTGAAGAATTGAACAAAAAATTGGTTGAATTCACCAAAAATGGTCGAGTCTGGGGGCAGACCCCCAAATTGAGGGGTCCAGACCCACAAATTCAATGGTTCTCCCCCCGCCATGGGGCTGGGCCCTTGGCCACCGCAGCTCGTTTCCAAATTCCTCGTTAGGGCAATTCCCACAGGATGTGGCCATTGGGGATGGATTTGGGGGTGCTGAGATTTGGGGTCAGCCCAGGGCAGCCCTCACAGCCCCAGCACAAGGAGCAGGGACAGGGTTGGGGTGTCCCAGAGCCACCCAGCACCCCCACATCACTACCGGGGGGCTCAGATGGTCCCAGGCTGCACCCGAGGTCCTGGCGGGGGCTGCAATGGCAAAAAGTAGACTCCCAAAACCCCGCTTCAGGCCTGTGCCCATCACTGGGGTCAAGCCATAGAGGTGGGGGACACCCCAAAACTTGCGTGGTGGCTGCACAGAACCCCTTGGGCCAAAGACCCCAAAGGTGAGGGAGACCTTGAGGATGAGGGGCAAGGGAGACCGTCAAGGTGACAAAGACCTTGATTCAAAGACCTTGAGGGTGAAGGTGATGGAGATCCTAAAGGTGAGGGTAAGGAAGACCCTCGCTGAGTGCCCATCACTTGGTCCCTTTGCCCATCACCAGGATCAAGCCATAAAGGTGGGGTCCATCTCACGTCGTGCGTGGTCCCAGGCTGCACCCAAGGTCCTGGAGGGGCTGTGATGGTGAAAGGTGACCCCCCCAAAAAACCCTGCTCCAGGCCTGCATTCATCACTGGGATCAAACCCTAAAGGTGGGCTCCAGCCCACACCTTGAGCCAAAGACCTTGAAGACCCCAAAGGAGACAGAGACCTTGAAGGTGTGGGCAAGAGTGACCCTGAAGGTGAAAAAGACCTTGATCCAAAGACCTTGAAGGTGAGGGTAAGGAAGAGCCCAAAGGTGAGGAAGACCCTCGCTGAGCGCCATCACTTGGTCCCTTTGCCCATCACCAGGATCAAGCCATAAATGTGGGATCCCACCTCACATCCCATGTGGTGGCTCCACAGAACTCCTTGAGCCAAAGACCTTGAAGGTGATGGAGACCTTGGAGATGAAGGAGACCCTGAAGGTGAGGGCAAATGGAGACCCCGAGGGCCACAGCAAGGGCCGGGCAGCGGGGGAACATCGCAGGGGGTGTCCCACTGGCCCAGCTCCACCCATGGATGAGCTTGGGGCTGAGCTGGACCCCGGCTCCCGGGGTGAGGGGCCCAGACCTCCCGCACCGATGCCACCAGGTTCAGATGGTGGCCAAGGCCACTTGGAGGCACCTGGTCCTGGCCACCGCACCATGGGGAGACCATGGAGTCCACAGATCATGAGGGTCAGCGCAGACCCCGGCCACGGCACAGCGAGGTCCCAGGACCCCACAGTGAGGAGGGGGATCAGGCCAGCCCCCTCCTCACCTGGGCAAACTCCCACCTCCATGGGGCAACCACCCCATACAATGACCCCTCCCTACCATGGGGTCACCAGCCTGGACCCCCATGATGGTTCCTCCTCCAGGCCATGTCCCACCACCACCACAGCTCCTTCCCACCACCCCTGGGGGGGTCTCACTCCTACGTGGCTCCTCGCAGACCCCTTCAACAGCCCCACCCCAACATGGCTCCCACTGCATCACCCTCACCTGCAGGACCCCCCCACATCCCCTATAGGTGCTCAGCAGCTATAAGGGACCCCCATATCCTCCACAGGACTCTTGGCCACCCCAAACCCTTCACAGCCCCCCTGGCTACCAGAGAGGGAAGAGCCCAAGGACCCCCACATCCCCTATAGGTTCCCCTGTGCACTGTGGGTTCCCAGCTGTAAGAGTTTCCATATCCCCTATAGGTCCTCGAGCTGGAAGGGCGACCACATCCCCTGTAGGCCCCTGCATCCTCTATATGCCCCCCAGCTAGAAAAGGCCTCTCCATCTCCTATAGGCCAGCCCAAATGCAAGCCCCCCATCTCCTATAGGCCCCCGCATCCTCTATAGCTCCCCACCAGATGTAAGGCCCCACATATCCTCTATAGGCCCCTCAGATAGAAAAGGCCTCTGCATCACCTATAGGCTTCTGCATCCTCTATAAGTCCTTCAGAGAGAAAAGACCCTCCCATCCCCTATAGGTCCCTGCATCCCCCTAGGACCATCCCAGTCGTAAGGCCTCACATATGCTCTATAGGCCCTTGCATCCTCTATAGGTGCCCCAGAATAAAAGGCCCCTGATTCCCCTATAGGCCTCTGCATCCCCCACAGGTCTCTCAGCTAAAAAGGAACTCTCACATCCCCTATAGGTTCCCACATCCTCTATAAATCCCTCAGCTAAAAAAAGAACACCCCATCCATAGGTCTCTGCATCCCTTATAGCTCTCCGCTCCCCTCAAGTCATAATGCCCCATATATGCTCTATAGGTCTTCCAGAAAAAAAACTCCCCTGATTTCCCCATAGGTCCCTGCACGCCCTACAGGCTTCTGCATCCTCTATAGGTTCTTCAGCTAAAAAAGACTCCCTCATCCCGTATAGATCCCTGCATCCCCTATAGTCCCCTCAGTTGTAAGGCCCCACATATGCTCTATAGGCCCTTGCATCCTCTACAGTTCCTCCAGAAAAAAAGCCCCCCAATTCTGCTATAGGTCCCTGCATCTCCTATAGGCCTCTGTATCACCTATAGGTCCCTCAGCTAAAAAAGAAGC